ATACCCGTTACTCAGCTAAATAGGGATATGCAAGTAGCAAAGCGAGATTAAAATGCGCCACCTACCGGCGGTATACAGATTTAAGCGTTATGGGCGTTAGAGTGGGCGTGGCAAATTTTTTTTTGGACCAATCGATAGGTATTGACAAGACCAATACATTTCAGTTAAATTTGTTTATCTAGCATGAAAATTGTGGGCGTCACAGGTTTTCGCGGTTTGTGGGCGGTAAAGTGGGCCTGGAAAACTTTTTTTTGGACCAATCGATAGGTATTGATGAGAACAATACATTTCAGTTAAAATTTTTTATCTAGCATGAAAATTGTGGGCGACACAGGTTTTCACGGTTTGTGGGCGTTAAAGTGGGCGTGGCAAACTTTTTTTTGGGTCAATCGATAGGTATTGATGAGAACAATACATTTCAGTTAAAATTTCTTCTAGCATCAAAACTGTATGAGCCACAGTTTTGGGCGGTTGTGGGCGTTAGAGTGGGCGTGGCACTCTACTGAAACAAACTTGCGCTGCGCAGGAATCTCAGGAATCTGCGTGCCTAATCCCAGTATTGTAACTCTCATAGTTTCCGAGATCTCAGCGTTCATACGGACAGACGGACAGACGGACAGACGGACAGACGGACATGGCTAGGTCGACTCGGCTAGTGATCCTGATCAAGAATATATATACTTTATGGGGTCGGAAACGCTTCCTTCTGCCTGTTACATACTTTCCGACGAATCTAGTATACCCTTTTACTCTACGAGTAACGGGTATAATAAACAGTATACGCTCACTAATTGTCTTCTTTTCTTCCTGGGTTTAATATGAGGTCTTCTGTTTTTCTTGATGATCCTGCTGGGGTCGTCCTTCTTGGTTGTTTTTAGCGAGGGATGGCCCTCAGCTCTTCCTTCAATTTATTTTTGTGGTTGTTAATTTTTGCGAGGGATTGCCCTCAGCTCTTCCTTCAGTTTGTTTTCTGATCGTCACTATTTAGCGAGGGATTGCCCTCAGCTCTTCGTTCTTGTTGAATTTGTATTTTTGGATTTGTAATTGTATTTGGCTTTTGTTTCTCAGTTAATATTTTTTGTATCAACTTTCACTTTCACAGTTTTAAAATTGTTGTTTAATTTTGTGAAATATTTTTTTTGAGGCCGTTTAGTTTTTTTTGTTGAACAGCAGGTTTATTATGCCGATTATTAATTAGCGGATTGTTGTAAGCAAAGGGGATTATTTCATTTATTAATTTCCTCCGTTGTTTTCAACGCGAGCTTTTCGTCGGTTGGTTAGGTTTTTTTTGACCACGCAAGTTCCTTTTTACTTTAAAACCGTTAGTTATTTATTTTAAAGCTTTTAATTAGAACAATTTAGGCGAGGCCCCACGTTGGACGCCAATTAACTATTTCACTTGCGAATAATTTAAAAAAATGTATTTTTATTTTTTATTCACTAAGTTACAACTTTACAACTTTCCTTAATACCGACTTTTGTTCTACTGTTCACAATTATTATTCTGTTGAACCGATCTTCTCGGATGCAAAAACGGAATGCCTGGCCAAGGGCCGATTATCTGATAAACAAACCGCGGTTTAAGAGAATTGGGGAACTCATTAATAGTTGGACAAGGGTTGGACTCAAGAGAGTCGGGAAATCGGATGATCAAATTTTCTGCTTGATTGCTAAACGGATTACGCTGCAGTTTTGGGGCTCGCCGGGTGTTGACCGGATGCTTGTGTTTACATTAGCTGGACCCAGCTTAGCTTATGTTAGGAGGACTGCGGCGCAATTGAATCTTAATAACTAACTTCGATTGAAGTGGGGAGCTAATTGGGATTATGAGTAAGGGGATCCCAGCTAAGAATTGTTTATAAGAAATTGTTTAAGACTTTGGTAAGGCGGCTGGGCGCTCGAGCTGGAAGGCGTTCTCAGCTAAGAATTGTTTCTGAAGAGTTTGTTTATAAATTGGGTAAGGAGGCTGCAACGTACATATACAACAACAACGGACACACTCGCTACTGTGGCAGGCTCCGCCGGTAACACAAATCAAATCTTTTATTAACATATATATGCCGCAAATCTCTTAACGAGATGGCCACTCATCTGAGAATCAACCTCATCTGGGTGCCTGGACACCGCAATATTGAGGGCAACTGCATAGCAGACGAGCTAGCAAGACAGGGGACAACCGCCGATATCCTTCGTGATAAGGACACGGTGGGTATGCCCATGGCTACCTGCAAGCTCCATATCAGGCAGAGATTGTAAACACTTTCCAACAACCGTTGGAACTCAATCTCAACATGCCACAATTCTAGACTCACATGGCCAAACTCAAAAAACTCTCCTAAATGCCCTCACGGGCCACTGTCTTATAGGGAGTCATGCGCTAAGGCTGGGACTAAGTAACCACGACTTCTGCAGCAGCTGCAAACATATAGACGAAGAGGAGAGCATCGCTTCTGCCCAGCGCATAACCTAAAGCGCTTTCAAACCCTAGGTAGCTACACACTTCCGAACCTTGCGGCCATTCAGGACGTAAGCATCCAAAAACTTTTATGTTTCTTGAGAAGAACAGAATACTTCGCGAAAGCAGATAACCCAAGAGCTAGGGAAACGGATCTGTTCAGATATCATGTGGTATCACAAGGGATCCATTGTGGCCTAAGTGAGGGGATTAGTATCTAATCTCCAACCACTCCTACCTAACCTAACATATATATGTAAGATAATTGGATATTATCTGTAGTTTATTAATAAAGTTTAGGATTATAATAGTTTGTACATATAAGAGTTACATAAGTTTTGATATTGATTAACGCGACTTTTCAACTGATTTTGCGACTGAAATGACTACTTTTTGACCAACGACTTTGTTTCACAACTTCTCTGTCTCTTGATTCGGCTGATGGTGATGGACTATCGAATATCATTTTAGAACGCAGCGTAATAAGGACTGCCAACCGATGTCCAATCTACCAGCTCACATTCGGCCATCCTGCAAAACATCTGTCCCAGATGCCTCGTCCTCTTCAGTTGAAAGGTTTTCATCTTCGTCCTCGTTGCTAGCATAGCGCCACAGCTTTATGAAGTCAGCGCTAGTAGACGTCTGTAGTGGACCCTCAAAATCGGCTGCTTTCTTTACATCATACCTGCCGTTGCGTTTAACCTGTATGACTTCATATGGCCCCATGTATTTGTTGGCTAACTTTTTGCCGGTTATAAACTGCGTCACCTTGATGGCAACCAGATCACCCAACTGATAACCATGATGTCCCTTTTCTCTTCTTGTCAAAGTTCTTCTTGTAGATCTCTGAGCTTTTTCGATTTGGTGACGAGTTTCTTTCCAAATTTCGTTACGTTCTACTTGTTGATTTATTATCATCTCATCTTCAAGGATCTTAAGGAGTTCGGCACTAGAGTTGTTTCTCATTCGCATCCCAAGCATAACTTCGAATGGCGTGAAGCTAGTTGATGCGTGGACATGTGCATTTATGGCCTGCTGTACTTGTGATGTGTATTTATACCACTTTGCGGGCTCCGATGCTGACATTTTTGAAAGTACTGAAATAATTACTCTGTTGACCTGTTCGATTTGTCCGTTGCCCCTTGGCACACCGGCTGTAGTCTCAATGTGATCAATATTTTTCGCTGTGCAGAATTCCTTGAAAGAGTGTGATGTAAATGCAGCTCCTTTATCGCTGATGATTCTCTGTGGGCTGCCAAATATTGAGACAAAATATTGAGAAACAACCAAGTGTATTTAGAAAAGCCATCCACAACTTCAAAAATGTAGCGGCTTTTTGATGTCATGTCTAATGAGCCCAGATGATCCAAATGAAGCATTGAAAGGGGAGTATCTCCTTTGTTTATAGCGTGCAAGAAGTCGTCCTGCTTCCCCAATTTCTGATTATGTGTGATGCACTCGATACAGTTAATGGTCTGCTTTACTTTCTTCTCAAGGTGGGAAATGTGGAAATCCTGCAGGATTGCATGCATAGTCTTCTGCGTTCCCATGTGTCCAAAGTTATGCGAACTTGTTATAATCTCTTTCTCCATGCATTTTGGTACAGCTAAAAGTTCTTGCCCATTTCCTTGCTTGTATATCAAGTTGTTTTTGATTATATAATCGGCATACGGTCCATGCTTCAAAGTTCCCGAACAGCCATTTGTTCCATCATTTTGTTGGGCTCTCTTGATCTGCGTGTTAACTTCGGATGACTCGATCATTATAGGGAAACGACTAAGGCTGTCGACATGTTGCATTCTAGTTCCTGCGCGATGCTCCACGTCGAAGGTAACGTGTTGCAAGTACATTAACCACGGCGTAACTTCTCGAGAGACATCTTTTTTTGAGATCGTCTGCTTGAAAGCTGCACAATCCGTTACCAGGTAAAACTCAATACCCAGCAAATAATGGCGAAGTCTCTTTGTTGCTAGAAAAGCTGCCTTTACCTCAAGCACGTAGCTGGTGGCTTTTTCTTCTTGTGGTGTGGTTTTCTTACTTCAGTAAAAAGCAGGGTGCCACTTCCGAGCATGTTGTTGCAGCAGAGTTCCACCGAAGCCATGTTTTGAAGCATCAACGTGTAATTGAGTTTTGGCGCCTTGACTCCAAACCTTCAGGACTGGCTCCCCTATAAATGCTGCTTTTAATCGATCAACGGCTTGTTTCTGTTCTCCTTCTATTTTAAAAACAGCATCTTTTTTAGCAGCTGCGTTAAGGGTTTAGCAAGCTTTTAAGAAACTCTTTACCTATAAACATAGGAAAGTTTTTGACTGCCTTGATTTTCTCTTCTCCTGGCCATATCTGCCCATTTTCTATTTTGCACCCAAGAAAATTGATACGCTGCTTTAGACATTCATCGGCTGTTTGTCCAAAAACAACAATGTTATCATAATAATACCTGCATTTATCAGCTGTTAAAAGATATAAGTGACATACCTTACAAAAACTGCGGGAGAATTGCAATACCCATTTCGTATCTTCATGGCCACTGCCTTGAAAAACGCACCAATTTCATCATCCTCTCCATCGTCGTGATTATAAGTCATTACATGCTGCTCTTGCTGCTGAGGAGTTTGTTCCGCCGCCGTTGTGGTTTCCATCTCCTCGTCCTCGTCATCTTCCTCCTCATCATCATGATGTGCATCCCCATTGATGTAGTTCTCGATACTGAGCTGCGCATCGCTATCCAGCGTCTTTTGTTTCATGTACTTTTGCAGAAAACTGAGCGAGTCATAGTGCTTCCAACGCGAAGTGGCCTCTATGTGCATCAGTGTCCTTAGTCGCTTGTGCTCTCGTGCATATTGGTCCCTTAGAGCCTTCCACTTCAGTTTAACCGACTTCTTCAGCTTTCTGGCGATTTCCTCCCAAACCTCCATCTTGAGCTTGACATTGCGATAGTTCACGTTGCCGTAGTTGTAGATCATGTCCTCCTGCTGGATTAGCGTAATCAGTTCTTTTTCAAAGTAACTCTCCATTTTAAGAAAGGTATGTATGGGATCGTCGTCCTCTTCCTCAGCATTAGTCGATTGATTGTGCGCTGCTGAAGTGCCGGATACCGTCGAGGTTACCGTTGCTGTCGAGTTTGACTGATTGGCAGCAGTACAAAATTTGAATCGAAAGACAAAAGATGACTGAAATCAACAAGCAAATCAACCACTGCGACTTTAAAATAAATGAAGATTTGTTGGTTGAGATAGGAATCTTCAAGGAAATTTTAAAGGTTTCCAAAGAGTCGCGACGGAAATTCGGTAGTATCTTTTATGATACTATAGAAGAGTTGGACATCCTGAAATGGCGCTTGGTGGATTTGCAGAGCGAAAACAATATCGATTTCCATCTCTTTGATATTGAAAACGTGGAAAATCGAATCACCGAGCTGATGATGGAGACAACCAAGTTGCAACAGCAAAATGATCTTCACGATGCGGAAATCGAAAATAATCCGCTGACACGACTGCTACTGGAAGTTAAGGAGATGATTTTTCGTATAAGGGATTCTATATCAGACTTAGAATGTCTTAAATTTGATGGTGAGGCAGACCAATGTGAGTTGGTCAGCGCTATGTCTCGCGAGGACGACCCTATCTTAATATTTAATCTTAAAAATAGATATGATGCAATATCATTTAATATTAATAAAACTCTATTGATAAATTTAAAAAATTGTAAGATATATTATGAATATTATTTGAATGTGATTAATGAATAATTTTCTAAAAAAAATAATTTTGAAAATATACAAATAAGAATTATGTATTATTCATGGGATACTATCACAAAAACATTATTATCTCTGTTGGCTTAATAATTTTTAATAATTTAATTCTAAGAATAAAATGAACTCCAAAACCAGTTTTTGAAATTATTTAATATTGATTAGAAGAAAAGAGACAGAAATATATTGTGCATTACAGATACCTTGAGAGTCAGTTCTATGAGGTTGTAAACCAGTGTCTGAATGGTATGGAGTTGGCAGCCATTTGTTAAAAATTGGTATTCACCAGCGGGAATATGTGAAATCAATAAATTTGAAAATTAAACTGCAAATACTAAACTCTTCTCCAGGGATTGTAGATGGTAAATTGAATTGTAGGTAAATCTAGTCTTTTTAGTCTGATATCTTCTACTATATTCTGCTAGTTACATGTTATGAGTTAACATCTGGGATTTCGGGTGCTTAATAATCCCATAAAATGATAAAAGTTTAACAACCTACTGTTAGGAAAAGATCAGAAATATAACGAAAATAAAGTAGAGGTTGCCATTAAAGAGGGAGGTCAGAACCAGTTTAAAAATTTTGTATATTGCTTAGAAAGGAAAAGAGAAAATCAAAAGAAATGTACAGCTTAGGTAGCTGGGGCAGCCATTGGAAAAGTCAAATCTGTTACAGTGGTGGGTGTGGCTAGGGGTTGAAGCGAGCAATACAAATTTAAACCTGTTTACATGATGGATAAAAGGATATTAGTTAGAGAAGGATGTAAATATCTTAAATATGAATTACAAGTACCCATCTATGACAAACCATCATTATTAAATATGAGGAACATATATTTCACCGGTGGGGAATTAGAAGGATCCAAAAGATCAATTTCATGAGAGAAGACTAATACTGTTTTTGGTAAATTAAATAGGCACATGAAAACATATTACTCAATTAGTTAGAGAATATCAAACAACTAGATTTATCAAGCATTTTGATGGAAAAATCAAAGTATTGAATTAATATATATATTTTTTTATTATCCAAATAGAAGAAATTTTCGTCTTTGGTCAAGGGACAATATTCCATGAATTTTTCCATTACCTTGACCTTTGCGCCTGCATCAAGGTATTTTGGCAATCCTTTGTAACAACTATTTGTGTTGTTGGTAACATTTATAAATTGTTCGCAAATAAAAAATACTTTCCTAATTATATATTTTATGACCTCTTTTATGAAGGGATATTATTCCTTAAATTTTTTTCCAATACCTTGACCTTTGCGCCTGCGTCGAGGCATTTAAGCAAATCCGTTGAAACATAACTATTTGTGTTGTTGGTAACAGTTATAAATGGTTCGCAAATAAAAAATACTTTCCTAATTATATTTTTATGATAATTTTTTATGACATTTGCGCCTGCGTCGAGGCATTTTAGCAATCCTTTACACCACCACCTATGTTTATTGTAGGTAACCAACTTGACTCTGGGGTTATGGTACGGTTAGCAATGGGTGGTTTGCTTAATGGTCACACCCATTTTTGGACAAAGGATACAATTGGTCATTTAGGTGTGGGTATACACATTTGTTATGGTGATCGAAAATGGAATAATCACAGTGTTTTTTGTTTTTTACTGTATTACGCCGGAGCGATTTCAATTACCTTCCCAATTATAGTTAGTTTTAAATCGTTTTTTGACATTCATATATTTTGTTCTTTCTAGACATTTTATTGTAGCTAATAACTATAGTTATGGGATGTAAGGCTAGCTATCGTAGTTAAGATTACATTTGTTATACCTACATAAGATGAAAGAACATGAAAAATGGAAATGTTTTATTTTAACTATATACTAGTTAAAGTGGATGATATTATTATATATTCTTAATATCTGTAATTATGAATCAAAATTGTTTATCAAAGCAGCTTCTACACAGCTTTTAGACAACTTGTGAACAATTTATTTCTTAATTAGTTTTACAATTACAGGATACATCTTCCCCCAACATAATCGGACATGTTCCTCTAAGATTTATATATCAATCTTGAGCTAATTTGGCTTTGCATTCTTTCATACGTACATAGCAAACACATTGAAAATCAGAGTGTAAGTTTTTACTTCACATCGAAAGTCGTCTAGTGATCAAGAATTTTTGATCATTCTTAACAAAAGACTATAAAAGCTCGTAGACGTTAATAACAACTAGTAACCAGCTAATAATAATTAGTAAACATCAAGTAAACAGATACTAAACATATATAAACCAGATACTAAACAGCTAGTAAACAACTTGTATACATCTAGTAAACAACTTGTATACATCTACTAAACATATAGAAACCAGATACTAAACAACTTGTATACATCTACTAAATAGATAGTAACCAGCTAATCAGTATTGTAATTAAAGAGATTATTAAACTTATTCAGAATCTTTGACAATGATGCCTTACTCATACAAATAGTATACAAATATAATTGAATTAGAAAACTAGAACTAGAAAAATAGTTGACAGCAAAAAACGATATTACCAGGTCCCAACACCTCTATAATAAACTTAAATCAGAAATTAAATTGAAAGACGCTCCTATGCTAGCTAATGATGCTTTCGAAATATGTTACAAAATTATTATGGGATGGAACAAATGAGTGCTTTAAAAATAATTCAACACCTGAGAAAGATTACATTGTGAGAACTATTTTACATCTATCTATGGGAACCAAGCGAAAATCTGCGTTTGGAACGAAGATTAATAACCGACATGTTTCTTACAGAGGGATGGAGTAAGAAAATTAATTATATACAAATACACATAAAATATAATTAATTATGAATTTAATTAAATATGTTTACAATAATAGAATATATAAAAAAATATTGAATGATCCTACAAATTTTGTATCTGACTGTAATTCAAACTCCAGGTACAAATGAAGGGGAAGTATTTTATTCAATGTCCTTGGGTCTTGGGCATGTGACTTTGATGACGGTCAGGTAATGATAGTTCACTGCAAGTGTGTTTGGCTAACACATCTTAGAAACTTTAACTTGTGTACTTTGATAGTTCTTAATAAGAGACTATAGCGACTCATAATACTTGTTAACATTTAGTTACCATCTAAAACCAAGTACTTTACATATACTATTCAGATAGTAACCATCCAAAATCAAGTACTGTACAGGTACTATACAAAAAGTAACCATCCAAAAACAAGACTAAAAAGAAAGTAACCATCAAAATACTGCTAGGTAACAACTAAATTCTAAATTTCTACGTGATCCCCACTTAAAATTTTTCTGTACCATTAAAAAATTTGTTGGGATTGGCTGAGGATTATAAAAAAGTTTTGTTAAATTGTAAACACGAACTAGTGTTGATGCTAACTAAGAATCTTGGTGAATCTTGAACAGACCAGAAATGAACAAACTTTTAAACTGGAAATTACGAATAAAATCTGGAAAATTCCCCATGTAACTCTGAGCGATTTTACAAAAATTAAGATGTACGATATTATTAAAAGTTGTGTAAACCTACCAATCGCATTCCAGAGTTGGGATTTATATGTTAACCCCAAATTGGGGTATGGGAGTCAAAACAGCTGAAATGTGAAATTGTCGGCTAAACGCGAAAAACCAAAATTTGCCATAATTGGATTTACACTAAATAGAGAACTTATCACAAATAACTTATCAAACTTGAGAGTTCACTTGAATTCTGAGTCATATCCATAATAATCTGAATGTTGATTTTAGTAAGAATTAGTATGCTCACCTATATGAAATGTATACAAGATTTCAATCTAGTTACTATAATCGTGAATCACAACCATTTTTGACCCCAAATGAATTTAAATTGAAGACCCCTATTATTGTGGTTGATCTTTCATATCAAAATGAATCAGTAAAAATTGGTCCTATCGATGTGAGAATTTCAATAGAACTAAAGACACCAAGTCATGAAAATACCCAAGCTTACTGTCTCCTCATACAAGACCGTTTAGTTGAATATAACCCACTAAACGGACTAGTACAACGAGTTGTTTAACATTAGAAAAATGTTGAAAGATACTGTTTCGATTGATGTTCAAGGTTTCTTTGATAATAATAATTTATTCTAAAGGAAATTGGAATTGTATTCGAAAAAGATCCAAACTTGAATAATAGTATTTTAATAGAACCACCATATGATTTTACTTTGCTAAATACAAAATCTCGAAAGACTGCAATTTGGTTAACCAATACACATCACAAAATTTTTTGGAACGATGGAG